AGTGGATGATCAGGTACAGGCAGCAGAAGGCCAGCCATTCGGGAAGCCTAACCCCAAACCATTTAGCAGCCATGATTACAAATTTCTCATCTCTGCTGTTCTAACTTGAAAATCCCTGTTTTGAATTCTCTTCTCTGTTGTGCAGACTGAATCCATGATTCCTTTTTCCCCCCTCAACATTTTCTGTCTCCTTGGACTGAAATTTTCAGGTAAAATGCATACATTTCTCAATGTCACTGGAGAGCCAATAAATATATGTATGAATGGTGTGCAAGGTAACTGTAAATATCATGAAGTTTGCCTACAAAGAGCATGTGCATCTGCAATACAAATGAAGCTACAAAGCCAATGACCGAAAGATTGACAAAAACAGAGACAAGCTATAAAAAGAACCAAAACGGGGAGAGTTCACCCACCAATTCATTTTAAGGCCTCAACCGTCACATCCAGCAGGAAAGAATCCTCTCCCAAGAGAACTCAGCTCAGCATATTCTTAGCTATGCTTTAAGTGCAAGATAGAAATGGTTCCCTTTGCTTTGAGCTGAGATATCAGCTTCTGTTTCTGTCTTCTCACTTGCCACTTGCTGTTTTTACCATCTGTTATTTAATGATCAGCTGTTGATTATTTTTATTGGCTGCTGTTTGTTTGTTTATTGTTTTATTAGGATTTGATTAGAGTTTTTTAAAACTCCCATTTTTAAAAACTGGAATCTCCAGGGTTTTTTTAATTAATTATTTTTTAATTACTGGAATCTGCTTTAGGTGTGTGTGTGTGTGTGTGAGAGAGCGAGAGAGAGAGCGAGAGAGAGAGAGAGCGAGAGCGAGAGAGAGAGAGAGAGAGAGAGAGAGAGAGAGAGAGAGTTTGGCATAGTGGTTAAGTGCGCGGACTCTAATCTGGGGAACTGGGTTTGATTCCCCACTCCTCCACTTGCACCTGGCTGGATGACCTTGGGCAAGCCATAGTTCTGATAAGAGGTGTTCTTGAAAAAGAGCAGTTTCTGTCAGAGCTCTCTCAGCCCCACCTACCTCACAGGATCTCTGTTGTGGGGAGGGGGAGGTAAAGGAGTTTGTAAGCTGCTCTGAGACTCCAAGTGAAGGGCAGGGAATAAATCCAATCTCTTCTCTTCTTCTCTTTTCCAGGGGAAAGACAGGATGGAAATGAGTAGCCAAAATATTTCAATAAATCTGGCCAGTGCTCTAACAGCTTCTCTCTCCAAATGATCCCAATGCTAGCATGGGCCAGGACTCAGAAACCTTTCCTTATGGGCCCAGAAGTCACCCCGTGTGCTCAGTTATGGACTCCTGAGAGCATTACACACTTTTCTTCCCCTCCCGCTCTTCGGCATGCTCCAACCTGAGTGCCTAACTGGACGTTACGAGGGACGCAGATGGGGCTGCCACCAATCCACACCTTCCCCCCCCCTTTCCAGCTGAATACACACACACACACACCCTGCTGTCACCGTGGAGTACATTCCACCACCACTCCCTTCTCACACCACTAGCTCTCAGTAGCAAGAGGCACGGCATTTCACCCCACAATGACCTGCCCATTGTATTCTAGCAGTCATTATAAGGACGTGAGAGGGGAGAGGCATGCTGGCGAGGCAACCCTCTCTTGTAATGTCTGCTTAACCCCTCAGCTTGTTTCCAATGTGGGTTGCCTGCTTTTCTCAGAGGATCAGGCTCTGTTACTCTTTTAAAGACCTTTGAGTTACAAAGCACTCTTTTAAATGCCTGACTGTGGAGGAGGCAGCAGCCCTTGAACGCAGAACGAAGCACATTCTAAGAATTGCATGAAACCTTGGAAAGTTCATTTGGTCAGCAAGCAGAGAAGCAAATAAAATTATGTACGGCCAGGATCAAGTGCAGTCTAAAACATTAGGGCAGAGAGCAAGACTGTGTGTACGTATTCTGGATTTTTTGAGAAAATGAATGGAAAGCAAAGAATGTGGTATTGTCTGGAGGAGGAGGAGGAGGAGGAGGAGGAAGAAGCTGTTGAGACACAAGTGACTCACAGCAACCCCATTCATGGGGCATTCCAAGCAAGACATGAACAGAGGTGGTTTTATTTATTTATTTAATGGCCATCACCTTCCTCCACATAGCAACTCTTTACTTCCTGGGTCATTTCCCATTCAGGTACTAACCAGGGCCAACCCTGCTTAGTTTCTGAACCAACTGCAGAGTGTGTGTGTGTGGGGGGGTGATTGACACTTAGGGGGAATGTTTTTAAAACCATCAGCGTGGAGTATGTGCAACTGTCGACAGATCCACACTTGCTTTGAGATGAAGGAAACACATCTGTCAAAGCTCAGCAAAGCCTTCTGTCAGTCTTTCAAGATGTCTATCAAAAGGGTAGTGAAGCTGTAGAAACTTGCCATAAAGACCCAGTTGAGCAGAGCGAGTTCTTTTGGCTAAGCTGCAGGGCAACTGACCGCAAGGACTCCAGAGCGCAAAGCTCGCTCATAGAAACAGCCACAATGGGACAGGAAGGGGTGAAAACAGAATGGAAAACGTAGAAGAGCAGCACCTGGAGAAGGGCAGGCAGGATAAGGGAAAGGAGGCCACAAGGCAGAGAAAGACGCCAAAGGGTACAGTTGCAACCAGTGTTCCCTCTAAGCTGAGTTAGTGTGAGCTAGCTCACAGTTTTTTAGCCTCTGGCTCACACATTTTTTTCTTGGCTCAGGAAGGGCAGCTCCAGAGCAAACTGATTCCTGCAGTGGCCAAATCGCTGGCTCACAACTTTAATGCCAGTCGCTCACGAAGTCGAATTTTTGCTCACGAGTCTCCGCAGCTTAGAGGGAACATTGGTTGCAACTCTTATTGGAGCACAGACTGGTGACAAAATTCAACCTATGAAGATCCCCAACTTCTGTGTCTTGCAAAATAAGGCCAAGTGCTTAGCCCTCAGACTTCAAAGATGTCCGAAAGCAGTGGCCGACATCTACTGAAATGTCGGAAGCTAGGTGGGTAGCTGGATGAGATACCCATTTAGCTTGATTCCTTGGCCTTCCCACACGACTAGCAGAAAAAGGCAACACAAGGACAATGCTGGGCCAGAGCCCGCCCTGCTCCTTGCTCTTGTTGGTGCTATAAGGATCTGGGTCCCTCCCAGGGGTGGTCTCAGCCTATGGGCACTTGGGGCAGCTGCCCAGGCCCCATGCTGGACTGGCCCCAATTGCCCCCCGCCCCTTGACAGAGGGAAGGAAGAAAATTCTTGCCACCGCTTGCACCGCTCCCATTTGGGGCCTTGGGAGTTGGCTCACTGGCGACGGTGACAACCCCACTTCCCCAGTCCAGAGCTTGAGCAAGTGGCCCCTGTGGGTGGCAGTGGCTCTTACTTGTGTTGCACAGGGCAAGGGCTTACCTGTGCTTGGGCCAGGGATGGCCTGGGGGGGTGATCCCACTGTGGAGGGGGTAGCAGCCCAACAGAGAGGCCAAGGGAGTGGTGGCAGTGGTTACAGGACCCATCCCGGACTCATGCCCAAGGACTCAGAGTCACTTTTGCCCTGGACCCCTGCTCCCTCCTCTCTGCACAACCCGATTCTGGGGTCTGTTTCACGGCGACGTTAAAACGAGATGGAATCTTGGGAACCAGCATGGACAGGCAAAGGTGATACAGCCGTTCTGCACACACAGAGCCTGGGGAGATGGGGCACCCTTATTCTGACCTTACCAAGAACGTGAAGCACAAGACCCAAGTGGGTGTCCTGCCAAGATGTCCTTTTTAATGACTGCTCTGGCACAAGCCACACATTTGGACTAGAGACAGAGACAGTTGCCTAAGAAAGGCCCCTTTTGGGGAGGGGAGACATGGCCGCACATCAGAATGCCAGTTTTGCACACAGAAAGCCCAAAAAGAGTCTCAAGCAAAGGTTGGGAAAGGACAGGCAAGCCTTAGACCAAGGGGTGCCCCCTGCCCTGCCCCAGCCGAGGAGCACCCCTGGCTCACAAACCCTCACCCCCATTTCCTCCATCTTCCAGTACCCGAAGGAATATCAGAGTCTCTCCCCCCCTTCCTGGCAGAAGATGCAGCTGGACTCCAGGGAGCAGAGCCGCAGCTAACCCCAGGCTGAACTTCACAAAAGACTTGCCTGTGTTTTTATAAGTGACTGGAGGGTGAGAAAGTACAGAGTGCCAGGCCTGCTTTATGCCCTGCTGTGTGGCACTTGCTGTCGGGCAGGGCAAGCCTGAGCTTCTCCTCATACACAGAATATCCAACAAGAACAAAACAGCTTTGCTTCTTAAGCAAACTGCCCAGAGGAGCACATGTATTTGCTATCGATGATCTCATAATCACTCAGGTGCACATCATTTGCAGCACAGGCACTGCTGTGGCAATTTCCCCAAGAATATCTATCTGTCTGTCTGTCTGTCTGTCTATCATCTATCAAGTCAACATTGGCAAGGGAGGCTGGAGTTGCCAATTGTACATGTGGAACTGTCAACAGTTGTTGGTTTCAGCTGCTGAGCAAAGATGACTGAGTAGGGCACCCCTGACAGGTGGCCCCAAGCCCAGTTCCCTGGGTAGTGAATGGGTTCATCTATCCTTAAAACTGACCGATAAAAGCCCAGGATCCTGGAGAGCTGCTGCCAGTCCTATGAACTTGGTTTCAGCGGAGGAGTGCCTGTTTATTTAGGCCAAAATCCTCGGTTCAGTTCCCCCCATCTCCAGGCACAGCAGGCCAGTGACAAGCCTTTCCCTGAAGAGCTGCTGCCAGAAAAGACTGAGCCGGGTGGGGCATAAGGCGGCTCGCTCTTCCTGACCTCAGGGCTCAAGGGCTTGCTTTGCACGCAAAGGTCGCCGGTTCAATCCCTGGGATCTCCAGTGACAGATGGCAGGAGGGCCCGGGAAAGCCCTTCCTTCCTTCCTTCTTTGCAGGGCGAGCTGCGGCCAGGCCAGGCCGGGCCAAACCCCCCCGCCCGAATCTGGAGGGGCCCAGCCCAGGGCCGCCCGGTGCTCCTGCCGCCCCCTGCCCTGCCGCGCCCCTCCTCACCTCTCTCCAGCGCAACTGGCGCAGGCTGATCTTGAGCGCGTCCAGCGAGGTGCGCGCCTTGGAGCTGTCCACGGTGACGGGCCGGCGGAGGCGCGGCTGCGCCCTGGCCCCGCCTCGCCGCCCGCCCGCGCCTCGCGTCTTCCCGTGGGGCGCCGCCCCGGCTCCCGGGGGCGCCTGGGACGGCTGGGCCGCGCTCTCCTCCTCCTCCTCGGCTGCTTCCGGCTGGGCCTCGGCGGGCGCGGCCGTGGCGGCTCCGGGCGGCTCCATCCCGGCGGCCCAGGACCGCTCTTGCTCCGGCTGCCGCCGCCGGGAAAACTGAGCATGCTCCCCCGAGCCGCCTCCGCCTCCTCCGCGCGCCCGAGCCGTTGCCCCGGCGCCGCCGCTTGCAGGCCGGCCTCCCGGGGGAGGGGGGCACCCCCTGCCGGGCAAGC